CTTCCCGGACCGGGGCACGAACCCATGTCCCCTGCATCAGCAGGCGGACTCTCAACCACTGCGCCACCAGGGAAGCCCTGGGATACAGCATTCTTATCGCTGGCTCACAGGACAATATGCCATGCTTCAGTTTTAAGGCTCATACCACCAGGTAAAGTTGCATTAAAATGAATAAGTCATGATGGTCCCCTATTTTCTTTTATAAGATTATAAATAGTTTACCTTTTAAATAGTATTATGACTTCACTAAACAAGAGAACAAGCCAGGTCCCATTTACTGGGGCGTCCGCAGTCAAACATAGGGTTCAGGTTGAGTCACAGGGAATATTTTCTTTAGATGAAAATAAGTGGCTCCTCTTCCTGAAGAAGATCCTGACCACTGCCAGCCAAAAAGGGTGGACCCTAAATTTGGGAGATTTTCTTCTTTCTGGTTTAAATTTATTATCATCATTGTTAATAATTATTAAAGTAAGTCATACCTGCCTCCTCACTGTTTCTCCTGTCCATACCTGGTGTTCTTTTTCATGCGATTAAAAGAACATGTGTAATGCTGCCTACATGGAGCGCTGCTTCTTAGGACGGGGGCACCCGTTCCCTAGGCTTCCGGAGAGCGGGCCACTCTCCCTCTCCAGCACGGATGAAGGACGCCTGCGCAGGCTGCTCGCTAAGAATTAAGAGAAGGTGCTCAGTGCTCAACCACCAATCTCCTCTCCTGCTGTCTGGAAACCCTGTGGCATCTGCCAGGCTCCCCAGTCTTTCCTTCCCCTGCTCGAGGTTGCTTCCTACCTGGACTTCTTTGCCTGTCTGTAAGCTGCCTTTGCACTTGAACCCTTTGCAAGTCTCTCCCAGTGCCTGGTCTCCATTCTGCAGCTTTGACTTTCACTCGAGTTTCTTCAGTGGCACCCCGCCTCCTGTCCCTCGGGGCCCCGTACCCCATGTAGGGCTGCGCCTGTAAGCAGGCTGCCGCCTTTCCCTGCACCTCTGCTCCTCATGTGGCAAATAAGAAGGCGGGATGGACCCAGCCCCCAGGGGCCTCCGAAGACATCTCCCAGACCCCGCCCCTTGTCCTCTGGTCAGAGAAGCTTCCCCTTTTATCAGTTTTTGGAGGAAAAAGAAAAAAATGTGACTTCAAATAAAAGTTTTTTAAAAACACAATGGACAAGATGATCTAATACTCCTAATATCTAATCTTTCTCAGACACTTCAGAATTTCCTTCTCTCCCACCCCCTCCTTGGGAGGGAGGCAGTAAGTAACACTTAATAGACAACATTGTGCACTGGCCTCCAGCTACCAGCTCTAATGGGTGCTGGGCAGCTGTCCCAGGCCAGATAAGTCACATTAAAGCTGAGAACAAAACCAAAGGGATTGGATTTCTTTTTTAAATTAGGAGGAGAAAAAATATGGTCTGGGTTCCTGGAAGCCGTTAAGATGCTTTTAAAAGATATCTTAAATCATCACTCTTATGCTTGCCTTAGTTTTTGAAACTTCTTGGGCAGGTTTCTGCTTTGTTTTGGTAGACAGTTGTTCCAAATAATGGTATGGAATTTGCCTACCCGGGGGTCAGGCTGGGGCACGGGTTGCGGGGAAGGTATTTATGAAGCATGTACTGAGCTTCAGGGACTGGATGCAGATGAACTGGGGGAATCTTTTTTTTTTTTTTTTTGCGGTACGCGGGCCTCTCACTGTTGTGGCCTCTCCCATCGCGGAGCACAGGCTCCGGACGCGCAGGCTCAGTGGCCACGGCTCACGGGTCTAGCCGCTCCATGGCATGTGGGATCTTCCTGCACCGGGGCACGAACCCGTGTCCCCTGCATCGGCAGGCGGACTCTCAACCACTGCGCCACCAGGGAAGCCCGAACTGGGGGAATCTTCAAGACAACCCCATGTCCCCATTCTGTAGATCAGTGGCTTTGAGAATGTCAGGTCTCATGTCCACAGAGCTGGTAAGATAAGAACCCAGCATTCAAACCAGGTCTGGATGAGGCCTGAATTTTTAATATTCTGCAAATATGGAGCCTGTAAAGGAAAGCTTTAACTTGGGAATTTTTTCTGGGGTCCAGGAAAAGTCCTTCGTAAATAGGGGTACCATATATTTTCTCAATGGGGAAACTTATCCAGGACAAATGAGTAACTAGACAGGACGCTAGGATGGCAGGCATGAAATAGTACTGTCCTGGGCAAATCAGGCTGTACTGTCACCCTTTTCATCACATGGGCCAAATTCCTATGACACCAAGAAGAAAGGCTACCACTAGAAGAATCAGAAGTGGCAGGACCAAGAACTGAACCCAAGTCTTCTTCTAAAAGCCCTGTGCTCCTCACTACATCATACTCCCCTCCTGATGTGCCCTCTTCACAAGCCCAAGGCCATGACCCAGTTCCCTGACCCATATGACAGGCTCCGGTCAGCAAGGGGGATGGAGTGTGGAGATAGGAAAATACAATTCTGTGTTGGAACTGAGCAGATTTTGAGAAGGAAAATATGCCAACTGCATCTTAGTTCTAAAACCAGATTAGAAGCTTTTGCGTAGTTGGTGAGAACTTCATGAATCAGACTTATTGATCTGCAGGTTAAAAGAGAGTGGTCCCCTTTCCACTTTTTTCAAATCCCTCTACTTTTCTCCATCCTCCATACACTGATTGAAAATTAGTGTACTTGTTAAAGCACTGCTGATGCTGATGGTCTGAAATAACCAGAAAACTCAGGTAAGTAAGTTGTTCCCAGCTGTAGCAGAGTGAGCTATATTAACCACGCTATTTTATCGTCCGTGTTTCTGACACTTTGACATCCGGGGCTTTGCTGGCCCTGGAGAGACTCCCCTTCCCAGGGTTAGCCAATTCCTAGAGATAGTAAATGACTGGCCTTCTAGAATGCCTTTCATATGCCAACTAACCAATCTGCAGCCTACTCCCACCATCTCCTCTACTGGGGTCTCACACTCTGGGCCACTATCCACCCGCCCTAATCACCCCAGGGCAGGTACCAGATGAGCCCAGACAGCCGGACACCCCAGAGCCTGCTGGGACTTTTCAAACTAGTCAATTCCAAGCTTGCTTACCCAGCCCCACCTATTCCTTCCCTCCAAAACCACAGTAAAAGCTCTCATCCATGTTTTCCCCTCACTCCTTCTGCCTGCTGACTGACCCTGGTGCTTCCCCATGTGGCCCCCCATGGCCTGGCAAGCCCCCTCCTCTTGGGAACTGTGAATACTCTTTTCAGTGGCAATTGTCTCCTGATCTGTCAGCTTCATCATATCTGAACCACAAGAAAGCCTACTTTAATTGAAGTATAGCTGATGTACAATATTATATGTTACAGGTGTACAACATAGTGATTCACACTTTTTAAAGATTATACTCCATTTATAGTTATTATAAAATATTGGCTATATTCCCCATGTTGCACAATATATCCTTGTAGCTTTTTTTTTTTTTTTTTTTGCGGTACGCGGGCCTCTCACTGTTGTGGCCTCTCCTGTTGCGGAGCACAGGCTCCAGACGCGCAGGCTTAGAGGCCATGGGTCACAGGCTTAGCCGCTCTGCAGCATGTGGGATCCTCTGGGACCGGGACATGAACCCGCGTCCCCTGCATCGGCAGGCGGACTCTCAACCACTGCGCCACCAGGGAAGCCCTTGTAGCTTATTTTATACCTAATAGATTGTACCTCTTAATCCCGTACCCCTCTCTTGCCCCTCCCCCCTTCTCTCCCCCCACTGGTAACCACTAGTTTGTTCTCTATATCTGTGAGTCTGCTTCTTTTTTGTTATATTCACTAGTTTGTTGTACTTTTTGGATTCCACGTATAAGTGATACACAATGTCTTTCTGACTTATTTCACTTAGCATAATGCCAAGTCCATCCATGTTGCTGCAAATGGCAAAATTTCAATCTTTTTTTATGGTTGAGTAGTATTCCTTTGTGTATATATATACCACATCTTCTTTACCCATTCATCTGTTGATGGACACTTAGGTTGCTTCCATATCTTGGCAACTGTAAATAATGCTGCTATGAACATTGGGGTGCATGTATCTTTCTGAATTAAGGGTTTTAATTTTTTTGGATATATACCCAGAAGTGGAATTTCTGAGACATATGGTAGTTCTATTTTTAGTTTGAGAAAACTCCATACTAAAACCTCCATTTTAAAACACACACCATCCCTTCTAAAAGTCACTTGCTTGCCCCCCCGCCCGCCCATTTCTTCCTCCTTACAAATGGTCCTAGTACATGGGAAGAGCAGCAGTGGGAGAAAGCATGGTAGCTCCAATCTGGAGCTTTATTTTCACAAAGAACCTCAAATAGCCTGCTCTCTCCTCATTAGTGGTCAAGCAAAGCAGTGAGAAGAGACAGTTTGTTCAAGAGATACCCCAGTAAAATGTTATTTTAGTGCTCTCCGGGCACACCCCACAGTGAGCAAAGCAACTCCCTATGCTAAATTCGGAAATCAATACCACTGACAACAACCATAGTCACTAATCACAGCCCTTCCATAGCCATTTGCCCCTGTAATCAATCATCAACATGGGAGTCTGGGAGCCGCCTAAAATACTTTTTAGTGAAAAGTATGGGGAAAATACATTAGAAATATGCAAATTGAGTTCACTCAGTTGCAAAACTAGAATTTTTAAAGAAGCTTCTAATAGTGAAGATATTAAATGTAGAAAAACAGAATATTCCTAGTTAAAAGGAGTCCCAATAATGCTGGCATTTCCCCCCCCAACCATGGGCCACCTGTTAGTAATCAATCTTGAAATGTGTTCAGAGTTCTTATTTGTTTCAAAGTTGGGAAACAAATGTGTTTCCCTGGGAGGACAAAGTCCATAAATATTTTAGGTAAGTGAGAGAAGTGAACTGAATTCATCCCAAGAACATCTGTCTTTCGCAGTTAGGACAAGAAGTCTCCTCTGCCCACGTCAGCCTAACAGCATCTGCCCGGTAGGTGTTTGGAAACCCAGAGGTGAGTGCTGTGCACTTGATTTTTTTTCTTCTACTCACCCTTTAGCCAATGTTGCTATGCCAACGTCAGTCAACTTCATTCCTACACCTATGGGAAGAGAGAGCAAAGACGGTATTTGTGTTACACGGGTCTCCTCAGAAAAAAGGGACCATCTATTCACAGGGAGGGGTAGCGTCAGCCCCATCATCATTTCCCTTCCTGCATAAACACATACTTTCCTCCTTGTTTCCATCAGCAGAAGCTGACAGCCTTTCAGACTGTGCATCCTGCTTTCCGGGAGCATAGTGGGCAAGGCAGGCTTCTGAGGCAGCCGGTCAGGGGAGCAAGGGGCGGGGCCTGCTCCGGAAACGAAAGTGCTGTCCTCTGCCTGCCTGGACCACTGCCTCTGCTGGAGGAGGGTGGCCTGTCACTTGTCCCAGGAGTTCTCTCCCCAGAAACGCTCTGATTTGGGCTTAGGCCTGTTCCGTGTTCTTCATCAAAAGCGGAAGCCCTTGTACAACAGTGAGAGAGTTCAAGGTGGCCTTTGTTCAGTTCAAGGCCAGACTGCAGAACACAATCACCCATCTCCAGAAAGATGGCATTCCGATTCAGGATTTAAGGTTTTCTGGGTCGGCTTTAGACCCAGGGAAGCACTACTGAGTTACGTGTAGACTTTTAACCATCGGCCTGGAGATGTCACGCGCGGTCTGACCTTTTGATGCTTATCCCAACCTCTCTCCATTAAGCCATTGGAAGTTGCGGGATGGAGGGCGGGATACCCAATCAACAAAACAGCTGCCTGAGCTTCCCACGCTGGTCCCTAAACAAGCCATAGGCATCCCTGGTAGAATCCCAAGCACTCAGGAGTCCTTTTGCTTCTCCCCTCCCAGCAGGAGCAGATGGGAGAGTGGCTAAGGAACCAAGGATTCAAAGAGAATGAAAGTCCTACTGTCTTGCAAGGTGGGGAAGGGCAAGGTTGCTGTCACCTTCTGTAATCAAAAAGCGCCATCCTTTCTCACCCAGGTCTGGAAGAAGGCAATCCTCTCTGATGCCCAGAGCGTGGACAGCCTCTGGCCTTTCCAGAATCTCCTTGACAGACCAGCTACCATTTCTGCTCCTGCCTTTCGAGGGTCGTGGCTGTAGGCACTGGCTCCGACTCCGTGGACCGCTGCCTTAATCTCACCTGTGCCATCTAGTGACCGGCCTTTTAGGGCAGGGCATGGGGTCCATGGTGCTATGCCACCTGAGCCTCGCCTCCTCTTCTCTGGCCCCCGACTCTTGTCCCACCCGGGCCAGGCTGTGGTCACTATATTCCCCAAGGCCAGCCGGCGACTTGCTCACTGAAGGGCCTGGCGGCCCAGAAGCCAGTCTGGGCTGTGGATGAAGGAACCAGCATCCCTGGCAAAAGCCAACCCTGGGGGTCAGGCCTGATGGCAACCTAGTTCCATGGGTCTCCCTCATATGAGCACTGTTTTCTGAGGCTCAGAAAAGGACAGCTAGGGACTTCCCTGGTGGCGCAGTGGTTAAGAATCCGCCTGCCAATGCATGGGACACGGGTTCGAGCCCTGATCCGGGATGATCCCACGTGCCGCAGAGCAACTAAGCCCCTGCGCCACAACTACTGAGGCTGCGAGCCACAACTACTGAGCCTGCGCACCTAGAGCCCGTGCTCCGCAACTAGAGAAGCCACCGCAATAAGAAGCCCGTGCTCCTCAAAGAGTAGCCCCGCTCCCCGAAACTAGAGAAAGCCCACCTGCAGCAATGAAGATCCAATGCAGCCAAAAATAAATAAAATTAAATTACAAAAAAGGACAGCTAAAGCGTTAATTTTCTGATTCAGCAATGTCTGCCTGGAGTGAGGCAAAAATACATGTCATGCTGCTGTTCAGACAGAAGCAAAGAGCCCTGCTTTTCTGCAGGGCACCTGGGAGCTAAATTAGACACAGCACTTTGGGGGAGCCAGTAAGCATTTTAAAAGCTTTCACAGTTGGCAACTAATTCATCTCATTCTTTCAAAGCTGCTAACAACTAAAACACATGTGGAAATGCTTCACATAGTTTTTATGATAGGAACTGGGCTTAAAAAAAAAAAAAACAAAAAATGACTCCAAACTGCAAAAGCCCTCTTTGGACATCTTGTTTCGTGGAAAAGTTGTACTTAAAAAGTACAGCTCTAAGCCGCATAGAAGTCCAATTTCAAACAGCCATTTGGCAAAAGGTCCTTAGGCTTGGGAATTGCTTTTCCTCAATTCTCACAATTACCAGCTGTCACTGATGTTTGGAAAAGTAGAATTTGATTTTCAAAAGGAATCTTCTCTCTTGGTTTTCTAGTTTGCCGGCAATTCAACAAAGGTTACTAAGGGTCTCTATAGGATAATAATTTAGATTATAGTGTGCAGCTATTAAACCAAGTTTGGGATAATAGTCATCTACAGGTTGTTTCTGATAGAAGGTAGGAAGAAGGCAGTATTACAGTTTGTTCTCCAGAACTTGAGTTCTTGGGTTATTTGGGTGACAGCTTCTTAGGAAGCCCAGTGGTCTCCGGTGTGTGCAGGTCTTAGGGCCAAATCACAGGCTCACCTTTCACCCCACTGACCTGCAGGACTCGCCACAATCTCATCAACAAGCCAAGGCAACCAGGGAGAGAATAACTTAAGAGTCTGAGAAAGTGAGACTGGAGCTTGGGTTTGTTTGGGATTTTTAAACCCTAATTCCAGTGTCTTAGTAAAATTATAAAATGTGGGGATCGCTTAGAGGATGGATGTGTTATCTTGTGCCACAGTGATGATGACAATAGTAAGATCCTTCCCAGCAGCAACAGAGAGTAAATAAACACCTTATGAAACACCATGCCATCACTTTCAACCACACACGTCATTTACGGGGAGATACAACGTTCCACTACAGCTGTTTACTAGTGACTGGAAGCAAAATTAACCATGCGTGAAGCTCCGGAGTGTTGCTTTTCAGTAGATGAACTGTATTTAATGCAAAATTAACTCTGAAGGAGGAAAGATGGGGAAGTCTCAACAGTTTCACAGTCTAATTACAATAGCTGTCTGTTTAAGACCGTATTGTCTGTGTGTGGCAGCAAAGTCTCTTCAAAAGTGAGTAGGGCTTCCCTGGTGGCGCAGTGGTTGAGAGTCCGCCTGCCGATGCAGTGGACGTGGGTTCGTGCCCCGGTCTGGGAAGATCCCACGTGCCACGCAGCGGCTGGGCCCATGATCCATGGCCGCTGAGCCTGTGTGTCCGGAGCCTGTGCTCCGCAACAGGAGAGGCCACAACAGTGAGAGGCCCGCGTACCGAAAAAAAAAAAAAAAAAAAAAAAAGTGAGTGGCTATGGCTGGCTTCAACTTGCAGATCAGCCTCCCCTGCGAGTCTGTAACATTGCACTTCCCAGCTGACCTCAGAGGAGTCCCTCACAGGAGCCTTTGACATTAAGGGATACTTGGAAATCTTGCAAATTTGTAAATTTGAGTTTTAGTGGAAAGAGTTTGGGGTTCAGAGTCAGAGGCAGTGTTGGAGTCTTGGACCCCCCTTCTTCTGAGCTGGGGATTAGATCATTATCTCCCAGCCTCTGTTTTCTCATCTGTAAAATGGGAACCAAAACATCTCTTTGGCAGGGTTATTATGAAGATTAAACAAAAAATAGGGAAAGATGAGTGCAGACAAAAACTGGTGAAATCCACATAAGGTCTGTAGTCTTGTTAATTACATCGTGCCGATGTGAGTCTCCTGGTTTTGATAGTGTACTGTAGGTATGTAAGGTGTTATCGTTAGGCAAAGCTGGGTGAAGGGTACATGGGGACCCCGCTGTACGTTTTTGCAGTCTCTCATGCCTATGGTTATTTCAAAAGTTTTTTAAAATAGGGAACTCTTACTATGTGTCCATGCTGCGCTAAATGTCTTGCTATCTCATTTCATCCTCCCAACCACCTCACGTGGAAATTACTGAGGCACAGAGAGGTAAGTGGTTTGCCCAAGGCTAACAGCTAGAAAGTGGAGGTGCAGGAAATAGAACCCACAGGCATTCTTGCTCTTCACCACCATGCTGTATACAGCTTGGGATTCTTATATGTGACAATGTCTGACATTAGTAGGTACTCAGTTATAGTTCAGATATTTTTCTTAAAGCATTATTATTTGGAAAGGAAAAGGAATAGGAAAGCCCCTGTGGCAGAAGCTGTTGGGACCCTGCCCATCACCCTCACCCTCACCCCTTCCATGCACACAGCTCTAAGTCCAGGTACCACCACCAGCATCTCTTGGCCTGAGAACACGCTCTGATCACAGGCACCTGCTTTGCTCAGCGTGGCTTGCCCATGTGCTGGTGGCAAACGCAGGGGAGTTAACACCCCCATCTGGAACAGCCTGCTGCTGGTAAGTAAAGGGAGTTGGAGTATAAATACCCCTGCTCCCTCACTCCTTGGGCGTGCTAATTCTGAGAAATGTGTTCTGCCCAGCCTCCCCCAGTTTCCCCAGCAGGCATGAGCTTCAGTAACACAGTGGTAACCGGGTATAAGGTACCCTATTGACTTTCCTTCCCTTCCCTGCCACACTCCCTCAGTCTCCTACCAGTGTTTCCTGGGATCCCCTCCCAAATATTTGCACTTGAACATTCACGTGCAATAAAGGATTAATCTTGCCTAAATAAAGGATTCGTTTTTGCCCAACTTTTTGGAGGTAACTGCTAAGCTCTGATAAGAGTGTCCAAAGAGGCTAGAAGCAGAGGTCAGTCTCACGAGCAGGCAGTGATGGCTCCCTAATAAAATCTCTGAACACCAAGTCTCAGGGGAGCTCTCCTGGTTGGCAGTGCTCCCACATCACTGAGGGGGGAAGCACTGTCCCCACGGCTTCACCAGGAGGCGACAAATGGGAATTCCCACCTGGTCTCTCCTGGACTCTTTGCCGTGTGTCTCTTCCCTTGGTTGATTTGAGTCTGTATCTTTTCACTATAATAAACCGTAACCATGAACATAATAGCTTTCCTGAGTTCCGTGAGTCCTCCCAGGAAATTAATGAACTTGAGGGTGGTCTTGGGGAAACTGCAACTTGTCTCAGGGCTGTCTCTGTGGGAAACCTAATTATGACATCCCTACTTCATACAACAAATGTATTCCCCAGAATGTGGGTATAAACTGAAAACATGCTGTAAATTCACCAGCAGAGCCTGAAATCTAAAGCAACTGTGACAGATCCTTTCGCCTATTAAGAGTGAATTCTTACATTTTAATGTATCTTTTGGTACATCTGGATTTTCATGTGTACGTCTGAATTTGTGCCTATTGAGGATATAGAGCGCCAGTTTTTGGTTACCTGTTGTAATGGGAAGGTGCTACTAGAATGAATTATTAAAATGTACTTTGTTACTCCACTGAGTTGCTCGTTTAGGGCTCCTTTGTTGCTTTGTTTCTGACGAGACATTAGTAACACTTTCTGCTGGTGAAGGTGCTTAGAGTCTGTACCCAGCAGACCTCTCCCTCCGCCCCACCCCCCAGGAACATCCCAGGCCCACAGCATCCCTGGAGCCCAGGCCAAGCTGCTCTCCTCACCCTGCATGTCTGTGACCAGGAGGCAGCCACTTGTTTTCTGGTAGACCCAGTGCTGGAAGGTGCAACATTTCTGACCAGCCTCCGATTCTCTTCTCAAGAAGTTTATCTCCTTCCCATCCCTGATGGAATACTTCACAAATTCTCCAATCAGCTCTTCCTCCACTGTTGCGTATGGGATATTGTTCTCAGGTCGATGGATAAGGAAAATAGGAATGATCCTGGAAGGGAAGAGAACATGGGCACACATCGTGTTCTTAGATGGGAATAAAGATGGCGGGGATATTCTACCCTGAGCTGGAGGAGTAGGGAGCTGCAGCATAAATCCCTGGGTTCCATCAGCTGTAGACTAAAAATTCCCCCATGATTGTTCAGTGGATAAAAGGATGTGTTCCTTTTATTTGTTCCTACAGTTGGTGAGAAACTCCTCCTTGGGATGGAGTTCAATTGCTCATGTAGCAATGAATGTCTTCATTATAGGCATGCCTCAATGACCCATTGGTCAGGTGACTAATATATCCATCCATCCAGCATCTATCCACCCTTCCATCCATCCTTCCTTTCAGTCAACAAATATTCATTCAGTGGCTTCTATGTGTCAGACACTCTTCCAGACACTGTTCCAGAAAACAGCAGTAAAGAAGAGAGGCTCTGCTCTCAGGGATCTTCCATTTAAATGAAGGAGACAGACAATAAACAAGCGTCTAGTGCCCTGTGCTATATGAAGAAAACTAAAGCAGTGGAGAGGAGAGAGGTAGCACAGGGTGTAGAGGAGGGGTTGCGATTTTATTTAGGGAGGTCAGAGGAGGCCTTGATCGTAAAGGATATTTGAGCAGAGACCTGTAGGAGGTGGGCACGGAGAGAGCCATGAGGACGTCTATGGAAGGAACATTCCAAGTAGAAGGAACAGCAAAGGGAAGAGGCCCTGGGCAGGAGCATGTGGGGCGTGTCTGAACAGCAGCGAGGGGCCGATGTGGCTGGAGAGCATCGAGCAAGGGGAGCGTGGTGGTTTGCGTGAGGATGGGAGAAAATGGGGAGCTGGACCTTGGGGAGTCTGGGCCACTTGAGAAACTTTGCCCTTTGTACTGAGCAGGAACAGAAGCCACTGGAGGGTTTTGGATACAGGAGTGACATGATCAAACTTGCATGTGACAGGGATCACCCTGCCACCCTGTGTGGTATGGAGCGTGAAAGGGCAGACGCGGGACACAGGGAGGAGGCCACGTGAGAACAATGGCAGCTGGAGGTGGAGAGGTGATCAGATCCTGCACTGACCCATTCACCGTCACACCGTCCTAGATGATTATCCCCAACCTGCTCCTCTCTCCTCAGACCGCCCACGCCTTCCCCCCAGCCTCACTCTCAGATGAGGACCTTGCTTCCTGTTGGACTGTGAAAACTGAAACAATAAGAAATTCTCACAGCTACACCCACCACGTGTTCCTGCCTCCCAAGGTCAGTGCCCATGTCCTCTGCCTGCCCACCATCTACTGTGGAGGAGCCCTCCTTGCTGCTACCTGAACCATCTCTCCGCTGGTGCCCTGTATCCCAACCCCTCCCTGATGCTCAAGGATACTGTTCCAGTGATGGCTCCCCACTCTCTCTCCCACCAGGGTTTCCCCCTACAGACTCATTCCCAACAGCAACAGAGAGTAATGACTCTACTCAGCCTGTGGACCTCATAACCCACCCCCACTACCGACCCACCGTTTACATCAAAGCCCACATCAGTTGTACACTTCCCTCCCATTCAGTCTTGAATCCACTCAAAGTGACCTTCCTGCTTAAAGAAGCCTCGGTCAAGGGCACCACAAGCACCATGTTGCTGAGGCTAATTGTCCCTTCTCAGCCCTCATCTCACTCGCCCTCAATGGCACTGGACACTGGATCGCTCACTTCTTTTTAAGACACTTTCCCGTGGCTTCCAGAAACTCACTTCCTCTTGGTTTTCTTTCTGCTTCACTGGCTACTTCCTGTCTCCTTTCCTGGTTCCTCATTTCTCCCCAACCTTTACCCCCTGGCACGCCCTGGGATAGCTCTGCTCACTCTGCACATGTTCCCTACTGACCCTCCTTGTTTTAAATACAGTTCATATGTCGGCAGTTTCCACATTTATATCTCCAGCCCAGACCTCTCCCCTGAACTCCCAACTCACATCTCCAGCTGCCTACTCTCCATCTACACTTGATGCCTAAAAGGCGTCTCAGATTTAACATGGCAGGACTTCCCTGCCATGGCGCAGTGGTTAAGGATCTGCCTGCCAATGCAGGGGACACGGGTTCAAGACCTGGTCCAGGAAGATCCCACATGCCGCAGAGCAACTAAGCCTGCAAGCCACAACTACTGAGCCCATGTGCCGCAACTACTGAGCCCACGTGCCACAGCTACTGAAGCCCACGCGACTAGAGCCCGTGCTCCACAACAAGAGAAGCCACTGCAATGAGAAGCCCGCGCACCGCAACGAAGAGTAGCCCCCGCTCGCTGCAACTAGAGAAAGCCCGCGCGCAGCAACAAAGGCCCAACGCAGCCAAAAAAAAAAATTTAACATGGCAAAAACTGAACTAGTCATTTGCCTCCACCCCAACGTCTGTAGAGTTGATTGGCATTCTTTCCCTTCAACAAAAATCTGCTGAATAGCTTGTGTCAGGATCTCAAAGATTCAGGGGAGGGGAGACGAGAGACACAGTCCCTGCTTTCCAAGGGCAGTCGTTGGGGAGGTGCCCAGAGGAGGGACATCTAACCCCCAACTCCCAGCTAATAAAGACAGTCAGCAGCCAGGTGTGTGTGGCCTGAGTTGTGAAGACTAAGGAGGAATAAGCTGGCAGAGTGGGAGGCAAGAGGGAGGCCATCCAACAACTCCACGCCCGTGCTTGGTACCCACAGCTCAGGCTCCCTCCGTGCGCACCCGCGCAAGCCAGTCCGAGTCCCACGTCCTGGTCCTCTCTGCACCCTACCTGGCCTGGCCTGAAGCTTCCCCGACGCTTCTGAGTTCCACCCAGTGATGCTCTGCCTCCCGCCCGACCCCTTCCCAGATGCAGTTGGTCCAGCATTGAACAGATCTGGTGTCACAACTGCCCATTCCCTTTTGTCACCAGGCGAGGAATAAACTGCATGAGAGCTTGTGAAAGGGTACACATGAACCCACCTCACCTACTACTCACCACAGGAAAATACGTGTACAGCAGGGTCCGCACCCTGTTACCTAGGGGCCAGCTCCAGTCAGATGCCTGTTTTCATACAGCCCACAAGAATGGTTTTTACAGGTGAACATCTGCAATTGATTGGCTTTTAGGGAACACTAACTCTGAACCCCAAATGTAAGCAAAGTTACTTTAAAACGTTAGCAAAATGCTATTTAAAAAGAAAGAATTCCATTCTTCTATTACAAAACCTGTATAATTCATCAATAAAGATTTGTAGATATTGGTTTTCTTTATTGTTACATAAGCATCTACATAATAGCGTTGATTTTGCCTATGGACCTACACAGCCTAAAAGAGTTACTATCTGGCCCTTTGCAGAAAGGGTTTGCCCAGCCCTGGTCTCAAGTTTTGTCTTCTGTTGGTGAATTCTTTTGTTTCTTCTCTCTGCCTCAAGGTCACAAACATGTTCTTGTCTCCCCATCTTAAAAACAACCAGCACTGCCCTTCCTTTGGGGGGACTTTGCCCTTAGATTTCACTCTGATTTTCCTTGTTTCCTTCACTTCTTGAAAGGGGCACCTCCATTTGTATCCATGGCCTCAGTTCCAATTCCCTCTTTGACCCATTACCCCTCATCTTACAAAGTCCCCGCCTGCTGTGGTCATCCATTCTGATGGCCTCTGATTATTCCCCAGGATCCTTCCGCAGCATCTGACAGTGTTTGTTTAATTTTTATTGGCGTATAGTTGGCTTACAATGCTGCGTTAGTTTCTGCTGTACAGCAAAGTGAATCAGTTATACATATGCAGACATCCACTCTCTTTAGATTCTTTTCCCATATAGGCCACAATAGAGTATTGACTAGAGTTCCCTGTCCAATACGGTAGGTCATTAAATAGATAACTAATAAGCTTCTCACAGTGTTGACCCCTTTTGCCCTCCAGAATCACCCTCTTGCCTGGACTCTGGGGACAGTGTCCCCTCCTGGCTCTTGTTCCACTGATGTTGTCCCTGAGCATTTGCCGGCCCCTGCTCAGCACTGACTCCGAGCCCTGCATGTTCGTGTTTCTCGAGCTTCCATCCTTGGTCCTTCCCTCCCCTTGTCCTATGCACTCCACGCAGGTAAGCCCACCACTTGCACAGTTGCTGTGATCATCTGTGTGCAGATGCCCAGCAAACCAGCGCACTGCCTCCCTTCTCTTTCTGCTCCAGGCTTAGATGATTGAATTGCTGCAGTCTGATGGGCCACAGAGACCACAAACCTCAGACTCGGCCCACGCAAAAGTATTCACCTCGCCTTACACCTACATGAGTCTTCTCCCTGCCTATACTGTCTTCAAGTGGCGGCATTGTCTACCCAGTCTCCCAAGTTCATAGTCAACCTTCTCTCCCTTTTTACTCCTTCCATGAAGTCTGGTTAAACACACCTACCTACCGAATGTCACGCAAGCCCATTCTTTCCTCTCAAACTCCCCATGGCCATGGCTTACTTCCACTGTCACTGCCTCTTTCTTGGGCGACAGAAACAAGTTTCAGGCTGGTCTCACCACATCCAGCCTCTGGGCCTTGTCCTTGGATATCCATCGCTGACGGACAGATAGCTCTAAGAGCCACATCCGCACAGAGGATTTTTAGGGCAATGAAACTACTCTGTATGATACATTATAGTTATCATTCGTTATAGTGTCACTAGACATTTGTCCAAACCCACAGATGTACAACCCTAATGTACACTGTGGACTTAGGGTGACGATGATGTGTCAATGTGGATTCAATTATAACAGACGTTCCCGTCTGTTGGGGGATGTTGGTAATGGGGGAGGCTGTGTATGTGTGGAGCCTGAGAGGATGTGGGAAATCTGTCCCCTCCATTCAATTTTGCCGTGAACCTAAAACTATTCAAAGATTAAACTCTATTAAAAACAACAGGGGCTTCCCTGGTGGCGCAGTTATTGGGAGTCCGCCTGCCGATGCAGGGGACACAGGTTCGTGCCCTGGTCCGGGAGGGTCCCACATGCTGCGGAGCGGCTGGGCCCGTGAGCCATGGCCGCTGAGCCTGCGCGTCCGTAGCCTGTGCTCC